TTGGGGGGGGGGGGGTGTCAGTGTCTTTTTAAATTTATTTTGCGGGCGAGCTGTTTGTGAGTGTGAAGAAGTGCCGCCAGGTGATCCAGTCGAGCCTGCCCCATCATCGACCGTACAAAGATTTTGAGTCGCCATAGAGAAGTAAATGACCTCTTTGAGCTGTATGACGTGACTGGTATGGCCAACGCAATTTTGACTAACTTCGCCATCTCCGGCAAAATATCTGCATTACGTCGTGGAATGTCTGTAGGGGTACAGAGTTGCGCTGCTTTACAATATCTATCAGCATGTCTCTGTGTAGCAACGGGCGTCCTGGTTCTAGATCGCCCAGGTAGAATTTCGTGACCTACGTGAGATCTTGATTTCCTATGGCAAACTGCTCGATGTGTGCCATATGTTGCCACACGCCAGGCGGATACCTGTTCCTCAGTGGCAAGAGCACGGTGTCGAGCACTTCGATGAACCGCCGGCGGCACATGTCCATCGCCGATGGAAATATGCGAGTAGTAGAACCTTGCTCATAACGTCGTGGGGTCTTGCTTTGCCTGACAACTGTAACAGAGGGATGGTCAACGCCCACCTTGTCAGCCTCTTCCAATTCTTTCTCTCAAAAGCGCCCCCGTAGTCGGCGCCTATTGCTTTTGGGCATCGATTTTTTTTTTTTTTTTTTTTCAGTGCCAGAGACTGCGGTACAAAAAGCAAAACTTTTAGACGGAGGAAAAGACACAGAAAGATGAATGTTTCAAACTCAGCTACTTTCTTTGCTTCCACGAGTCGTCATACACCCAGAAATCTAAGGTCGCCTACAGCCATCATTGAACTTCCACAAAGAAACCTACAGTAACAACAAAAGAAAAAGTTATCAGAAATCGAACACACCCTTGTATCCCGAACATGGGTCACTTAAAAGATTCATACAAATTACCTTTTATTCCTTCTCTCTTTGTCCCCCACCTTCAAATTGAACATCGAATCCAACCTTCACGGAGAAGGACTTGTAGTTTCCAAGGCTGACCTTCCAAAAGCCCTACCCACTTCTTCACTTGCTCATCTTGCGGACAAGAACATCGAGAAGTAACTGTTGTTAAGTTCGAGCAAGGGAGTTTATTACATTGAAACGTGTGAGATTGTTGTAAAACGCTCGTGCAATGGGGGGCAACAGTGCATTGACCGCGGCTTTAGGGGTGAACGGAGTATAAAAGCTCCTTCTGTGAAAACCCTCGTCGACAGGACGACGTGTTTTCTGGTCTAGCAAAGTATGAAGTACTCACAGTATTTTATTACAAGCTTATAAACGCTGTAAAAAAAGTATGTTTGTTGCGCGAATTGGTGACTCAATACAAAGCTCCCTTTTTGCTTTCGCGAATGGATCACGAAGGCATTTAGAAGACATTCAAACAAAATATCAATCAGGGGCTCACCTTCAGAACTGAGAAAATTGAAGGTACGTAGAATATATATTATAATTTTGCCTTCTTAAGGACCTAACGTGATCTCAACGTAGCATAAAATCTACAACTTAAAAATAAACTACTCATGGTATGACTCAGGGTCACATTCCACGGCAGTTATCTTGAGCTCTCGCAGAGATTACATGACACGTAACATAAGCTGTCAAGATACGGCAAGTGTTACTTCTGTTTGCGACACACGCATTTGTGAGGACATTCTAGACAAAATATCGTGTTTCACTGCGTCTCGACGAATTAGAAAACTGGAGCAGTCAAAAGAGTCTAACTGCATGCCGCAAAAACCTCAGCTTTAACCCGCCAGCATAAAAATTGGAATCCACTCAACATTCATTGCTTCATACGTTTAATAAATAACGATTATTAATATTAACGTAATGACACTCCCCCCTCTCCCCACCCCCTCCCCCTTTTCCCGCTCTCCCCTTGCCATCCGTAACTACCCCCTCCTTCCCCCTTTCCAGAGAAAAGAAAAAGGACAGTCATGTGTTTATCTCCACCAGGGGTCTCCAAACACTTCGGAACAATATTAAAAAAGTTAATTACGCAAAAATGATTAACAACTTAATTATCTTGGACTTTAATAATTTTCCTAAATGGGTCTCTGGCCCAGGACCAAAACGCCGCAAGCCTTTTTTCCTTGCGATGAGTAGTTTTCGCAGATGCGATTTGGCCTGCGTTTTCTGAAACACCCTGTATATGTATATATATATATATAACGTAACCAACACAATATATTGTGTTGGTTACGTTAATGCTTTGGCCCAGATTTGTGCCTATCTTAAATACTCTACTCAAAATATTTCAAATACGTTTGGTAGTATTTCGGTATCTTGCAAATACATTTCGCCTAGAGTATCTGCTACTTTATCTTGATTAGATTTCTCACTACCTTCTACTCACTATCTCAAATCGATTCTCAACCTTCGAACATATTTGTTTGCTGGAACAATCTACGGAACTAGGAATCGTCAGACTCCAAGGCAAAGCTGAACCGATTGCTTAATTGAAGGCAAGCGACCAAACACAGGAGAGGAAACAAGGCCCGAGAAAAACGCAGTCTCGGAACGCCAACAAAAGACTAACTGAATAGCCCCAATTACGCCAGCCTTTATGAGTCCTCCTGTCTATTTCTTTTTTTTAATAGCACGTTATGCTGGGAGCTAGCAAAGTGCTGGTGGTGTCATCGGAAATTTACACCTTTTCTTTCAAGCCAGAGTGGTTCGTCAGCGGAAGATTGTGACGCTACGCTGGGTATGGTCATAGTAGACCATTCTCGGGAATCGCCGGTTCAGGGGGTTCTGGTATGAAAATGCGCGAGCACGTTTTCAAGTGAGCGCGAAAGCTCTTTCGCCCCCCCCCCCCCCCCCCCCCCAAAAAAAAAAAGCTAGATCCTGCTGACGTTATTGAGCTGCACCGATATAAATCGGGCTTCCCCAAAGCCCCTTGTGTGCCTATTGGGAATTAACTTTGGCTCCCAAGCTAGTTCAAAAGCGTTTCTTTTATCTCCTTCCGATTGCGCAGATTGCATCGCTCTCAGAATCCTGCAGCCCAGTTTTCCGCCAGGTAGAGTCAGGGATTAAAAGAGGTTTCGTGGACACTTTGTTGGATTACTCGTGCTTCCGTCTTGACCCTCCTAATATATATATATATATATATATATATATATATATATATATATTTTTTTTTTTTTTTTTTTTTTTTTTTTTTTTTTACAGTATGAAGGCACACGCGCTCCTCTCACCCTTGGCTTGGGAGACAAAATACTCGCTCTTAATTGTTGATCAGCGAAAGAGGCTGCTCTCCTCTAGCCGATGTTTCCCCTGTGCGTGCACGTTTGTCATTCACTCGCGTATACCCATCGTCAAGTCTGGCTGCCTGATCAACTCCTAGTTCGTTTGTTAGGAATAAATACAATGCCGGACTACGGGTCAAGTCGGCCGAATCGCCGCAAGGCATATTACGAACTTCTTGCGGAATTAGTCATGACACGAGCCTGCCGCCAAACTAAAGCACGCCAGTTACCATGCCTACAAGGGGAGTCCCCCTTGCTCCTCAGATATTTCGATACTGATTATGTTCTGTATTCATAATCATGTAAAGGCGCGATGTAACGGTTTTAGTACTTTGCGAAAATGCCACTTAGGACGAATCCCTGATGATGCAGAAAAAAAAATAAAAGAACAAAAACTAGCAGCGTTCATCCGCTCCACTCGCAGTCAGAACAAGCGGCCACGTGATCTGGAGCCAATTATATGCCGCCAATGTTGATCACAAGGCGCGCTGAATTCCACATTGTTATGGTTCGGCTATTGTCGTTATTACAGCGATTGGGAACGGACCCCAACCCGAATTCTTGTCGAGCTATTGCTTATCACGAGTCCAAATCGAGTGCTCACGCAATGTTCGAGCCCAATCTATGAACCGCACTCAGATATTCTCACTGGGGGATACTGGGACCCCCAGCTGCGTCTTCAAATTTCGCGGAGATTGAAAGAAAACGCTCGCTCTTATCCTTGAAACTACGCCGCAACGGAGGAGTTTCTTGGTCAGTGGCGTTGCGTGCAAGTATACCGGGGTCGCACTAGTGCCAGTAAGCTCATTAAAAGTGGAAAAAAAACATCCCAAGCAAATATCGTCACACGATACCGTTAATGTGAACTTTGATTACCGCAGCTAAGTCGCTTTCTGAAAGTCATAAAGATGACAGCAGAATGTCATTTTCAGCGAAGTCGTCACAAGTAGAACAACCTTTATTTATTTTATTTTTATATTACCAGCTGGGCAACCTACTTGCTGAGCATCTTCGAATGTATTTCAATTACTTTTTCAAAGTATTTCTACTTTACGCAAGATATTTCGTAGTAAAAGTAACTTAAATACTATTCTAAATATTTGACTAAAAACTCCGAGACTGGGACGAGCAGGGACGGACAAACACAAAGACTCACACTTGAGACTTTGTGTTTGTCCGTCCCTGCTCTTCGCAGTCCCGGTGGTTTTAGTCAAATGTTTAACCATGACTAGCTCGTTTGCGCCGTAACCTTTTGTTCAGTTACACTAAATACATTTTCCAATGGGTATTAAGTATCTTAAATACATTTGTCGAGTACTTAGCAGAACACTGCAGTGCAGTTTACCTGAACCACACTGTGCCAGCTCATATCACTGCTCTTTTACGTTGTCGAACATTGCAGCAAGAGCTTCAATGTAGCCTCCCAACTCGCGGGCGTTCGCACGTCATAGCGGAACGAACATTCTGTACCGACCATTTTCTGCAGTTATACATACAGGTACGCGAGCTCAGCCTCCATAAGATGACTCGTTCATTCGCACAAGCGCTCTAGCAACGAAGAAGGAAAACAAATCCGCATTCTAAATTCACAACGCCGCATAGAGCTCCTGAGATGGAATACGGCCAGGTCGCGTATCAACAGCATCACCCAAGCGAAATGGAAGCAAGAAAAATGCTACGGCAGACGCCAGCAGAATGATAAAGAGCAAAAGTAACACCGCGAGCGCGGCCAAAAGCAGCTGAGCCAGCTGAGCCAGCAGCCACTCAGGCGGTCGTCGAATGCAGCGAGTCCCATATCGTCTCTCTGGAGCTGGCCCAGTGCGCGGGTGCTCGGCGCGCGGAAGCCGCGGTGTTTGTGGCGGCGTCCGCCAGGGGCGCGACCTATACCGGCGTCGCGAGCGTCGCGCTGTGCCGGGGCCAATGGACGGCGAGGGTGGAAATTTCCGATGGTTCGTCTGCTCTTCGCCTAAAGAAAGGCGCGCTCTTCCGAGGGAGAAAGATTTTTCCACCTCAGCCGGCGGCAACGTGCTGAAATAACGGTCAAGCTCGGATTTTTTTTTCCACCGAGCAAGTTCGTCCGTTCAATTTTTGTATCGGGGAAAAAAATATATCAAAGAAACCCATCGGGAAGAAAACGTAGAGAACGGACTGCGACAGTATCAAGTGTGTGTTTCTTTCTCACCCTGAGGATTCCTCGTTAGAGAAGGCGTCTTGCGAGGAAACAACAGACTGGGATCTCGTGCAAGACGCCTGTCATTTTGAGTTCCTTCATCCGTGACTGACAGACAGATTCATCTCCATCACGCTGAGGTAAGAAGACCCATTTCGTGGTTTGAACCTGTCGTACGCTCATTTCTATATATTTTGATTCGTTTTTTCGCGATAGTTTATTTTGTATCTTTATTCGTTTGGAGTCAAGAAAGGCCGTGCTAATTGGCGGCTTCCCGTAACAACATCCGTTAACGGTCTACTCCAGTTACTCCGTCTGAACGCGAGGAGAAATGTACCGGCGCCTTTCGTGCGCTGCGGCGTTTGTGATGCATCGCGTTTGGAGGGCAAGGTCAGGTTTCGTGTTTCTTCTTTTTTTTTTTTTTTCCTTCTTGCGTCGAGCGTTAGGTTGAAAGAACACCTGGGTGCTGTTTCTTACATTGATACTGTATTTTTGTTACATGTAACACTTTTGTTTGGAGCGTGTTATAGAAAAAAAAATATTAATCGAAAGATGTCTGATACCATTTGACAGTGGGAACAATTGATCAGCTGAAGAGAGATTTCAAAGTTTTAACAAAGGAAAACAAAAAAAGTCCCTACTTTTGGTACGCACTTAACTCGTTTTTACCTCAAGAACCGTAAAAGAAGAAGAAAAAAAGTCCGGCTCCTTGCTTTTATCTGAAGAATTAATATATATATATATATATATATATATATATATATATATATATATATATATATATATATTAACAAGTACGCGCTTCGAACGCCAAAAGCATCCTCAGACAATCAAATCTAGTGAGAAATACTTCGCACGGCGTATGAACCATTCGCAAAACTTATTTTTATTCAAAAAAGAGTATAGTTACTTTGTATATTGAAGCGTACAACATGTGTAACATTCTTGTATGGGCCATAATGTGTGAGCCTACACATATAGCACGTTCCAATACGTGCCTACATTCTGTAACGTACACAACAAGCGTTCCAGTATGTGCCTACATATTGAAACGTACAAAAAAAATGTTTTAGCATGTGCCTACGTATTGGGAACGTACACATATAGTACGTTCCTAGATGTTCCGAGATATTTTAGAGCTTGGGTGCTCGTTTGCGTGCGTGCATGCTTTCTTATATAATAGACGATCACTAAACAACATACCCGTTCCGCTGCAGCATTTCGGTTGTTCAAAGTTTACCGAGTACCTCCTCTATCTTCATCGGTTTTTGTGGGTAAGAAATAAGTTGTTGCCTTCCGTTTGTTGTTGTTGTAGTTTTTTTTTTTTTTTTTTTCAGCTTTAGGAGTTTTATAAGTGTTTGGATGGTCTCACTTTAGGTGCCTAAACCCAACGCCGATCCGGTGCATTTTGTTATAGCATTTTCTTTCTCTTGCTTCCAGCACTCTTCTAAAAGTAGTACATGCCTGACAGCAGCTCTCGTGTATTTAGCGGTTTCGCCGACGACGATCCTGCCGCGGTCGCCACAAAAAAAGACATACGGATAAAGAAACAGGTCTCTTCGTGACTTACGAAATGCTGTTGGAAGTTCCCAGACTAAATCCCGGGTTACTTCGATTAATTTCGTATTGCAGCTTTCGTAAAGAAATATGCGGCCCCTCAGCGGTCTTAATTAAAAATATTCTCCGTTTGTCTTTTTTTACTCTTTGTTTTAATTTTTTTTTATCGGTATATGAAAACAAGCTTGAAAAATGAAACAATTTTCACAGCATCGATGCACTAGACGGCTAGAAAAGGTGTTCGATTCAGAATTCTGAGCACGTGAACGTCTTAGTGGTGGCGCAGTGCGGTGTGTTTTCCTTTAAAGGCATAAACACGTTTGGGCGTATGGTGATTAACTTCTGTAAATGAAAGTGATTCGCTTTCCGAATCATACAGCTGAAAGAAAAACCCGCTAATGTTAGTTAAAATTTTAAAAAAGAATAAAATTCGGACAAACACGGTGTGCCATTGAAATGTGAGGCTTTCCCAGGTCTTAAATCCGGCAATGTTAGTATATTCCACGGTATCCAAATAGTTCACGAACCTGCGGGAACCGTTTGAAAGACTACGCAATATGTTCCCTTGGTTTATAACGAGATAGCAATGGCCCCGGGGGTTGAGTGAGGGGATCGGTGGCCGAGAGTGTTAGCGCCTCGTAGCTCGGCGCATGTAGCGCTAAAGCTCGCGCTGCGAACAAAGGAATTCGGGGTTCAATCCCGGCCTCTGCACATTTAGACTGGATAAGCGTCGAACCGGCGTGCGGTCGTGTATCACTACTCCGTGAAGCAGGTTAATGACCCCAGGTTACCAGTGACGTTCTGCACTGGGTATACATCTCTCATCGACAACTGAGGCACCAGACGCGTATTGCGGCTGCCTAACTTCCCGTTGTTATGCGTACACACAGCACAATTTTAACGGCTCCAGTTCCGGTGCACAGATGGCGACGTTTATGTTCCAGAAGCAGGGTTGCAAACAAAATATATTTCCTGCGTTTGCGAAACCAGTGTTTGCATCTCGTTCGCTTAATCAGAGGAGGCGTATCGAAGAGCAGAGCACTACGAATTCTACATACTAAAGAATATTTAGTTAAATACTAAAATTAAAAAAAAAATATATATATATATATGTGTGTGTGTTTGTGGGGGCCGGGGGTGGGGGGTGTATTCTGTACACCTTTTTAAGGGACAAAAACGACACGGCTAGGAATTGACATGATGTGAAGATATATGTGCAACTCTTAGAGGATAATTTAAATTGAAGGAAACCGTATACTGTTTTTCGTTGTGCTTTAGCGCACACAGTATTTCACTCTTTTGAAATAAAAAAAAATACAATTTTTCTCCCTCTGCTTTTCGTCGATTTAAAGGTTTCTCTACTAGCTGCAGAACTAAAAATAAACTGCTAGAAATAGGGGTACTCGGATGTTCTTTGTAAGCAAGAGTGCTTCATGCTTCAGCTTCGCCAACTGGTTCAGAAACAGCCGGTTTGGAAACGAGCAGTAAAACAAAAAATTTAGATAATTCGAAAAAAAAAAAATTGGTTGTTGTAGTCAACTAAAAACCAGTGTTTTTTTAGCGCCAGTAACCGAAATTGGTGGATCATTTTCGCAGACCCATTGAGGCCGCAGGGCTCGGAGCGTTCTTCACTCCGAAAACGCTGGTCCCCTACAGCGGCTACAATAATATCGATACTAAATACTATATGGCCATCGACAGCTAAAGAGGCGACGGGCGTGGCGAGTCCCGAGCATCTCATTATCGCTCCATAGCCAATCAGACTGCAGCATGAGCCAATAAGAAGGCCGAACAACCAATCACGAAGCCAGGAGCGTGATAATACTCACAGGCCCCGCCCCACGTTTCTTAAGCAGTCAGCGATTGCGGCCCCCTCATCGGTGTGGCGACGGAATCTCGCTGTAGCAGTGTTGTTTGCCTGAGCAGTGCAGGCTGAGTCTGATGCGCTAAACACAACTCACGTCGCAGTTACGTTTTTTTTTTTTTTTTTTTTTCTCTCTCTTTTTTTTTTTTTTTTTGGACGATGAGAATTTTTGTGCGAAGACGTGTCACAGGAGAAATTCGTCGCGTTTCGGAGGCGGTGATCGTTCTTGACGGTGTGCCAGCAGAATCGAGACCAGTTTATTTTTGTTGGCGCACCCGGAAACGACGCGGGATGAGATGCCGGCAGGTCACCCCAAATCCTCGAGGGTTTCCCTTTTGTTTTCCCCAATAAGTTTTTGATTGATTTTACCTATTTCAAAGCTCCACTGTAATCAAATGTAACGAATAAAACGTTTTTGCACAAAAACTTGTTTTTTGGCGGGGCTGCGAGTTGGTGGGACCACCCAGACAGCGTTAAAAGTGCCTGCTTATATCATCGCCGAACCAATCATAAACAGGAAAAGGCCTAGTGACTCGCGCTTTTGACGCTGCTTGGTGGGTACCATTACTTCGTAGCGTTCGCTGCGTACGGAGTTCGGCTAAATTGTAGGTGTACATCTTTTGTGCGGTCTCGGTGTATTGGCCTAACCTCCATTCCTGTTTATTCTTGAAACACGAGTGCAATGTACCCTTTTCAAAAGTGTGCCCCCTATTATAGTAGCTGCAGCGCCACTAATCCGAATCCGCCATGGCTTGATGACGTACTCTGAGCAGGGATTGGACACGAGGGCTGCGTCAGTGCTCGACGAGGACTCGGGTCCAATCACACGCTTCGTGCCCAAGAAATGGCGGCCTCCAATGTTGCTCGACGAAGTTTTCAAAAGGTCTTTTGCTATTCCTCCCGGTTTCAATATAAACGGGAGTTGTGCCTGCATCACCTCTCGTTATATATATATATGAACGATTTAGAAGAAAAAAATGTTGCCGCTTTGCCGTACTACGGAGAGAGGGGAAACATTTATTGTAAAACAAAACCTCGTCCGGTGTTTGAGGAGTACATCTACCACTCTTTCCCAGGCACGTTGAGAACGTGATGTATCAAGAGTGGCAGTAGGTCGGGTCGGTGTTCTTTTGGTGGAGGGAGCCAGCTCTAGCTTGGGAAGGGTTGTTGTAAAGTGACGAACACGAGTGGTAGCGTGGCAAAGGATAGCGCAGGATGCGATGCGTGTTGGTGTGGAGGAATTGTACACCTGCGGAGACTGGATGGCGCGAATGGTAGCTGGTTCCCATCTTCTGCGGAGGGAATGTGAGTGCGACTTTCTCTGAGCCCGTTGGAGTGTGAGACGCAGTAAATGGAGCGCGCGGAAAACAGAGCAATTAAAACGCGGCAGCGCCGAGTAAAACTCTAACGCCAGCTAGTAAAAAGAAAAAGAAAAAAAATTAAGCACTTGTACATACTTTAAGCCGTTGCCACCGTTACGGCAAGGCGAGCGACGGAGCGTCTGCTTTTCTTTTTTTCTGCTTTTCTGCCGCTCTCTCTCGCGCTCGTTCTTTGCGAAAGCCAGGAGCGCGCTCGTTTCACAAAGCAGGGCGCCGCTATACGCCTAATCACGTGGTGTTTTTCCCCCGCCGGGAGTAACGCAGATGCAGTCGAAAAGGACGTTCGTTTGGCACTGGTGTCCAATCAGTGAGAAGACGAGCACCGGGTCGGCGTTCGGGT